GAAACCATCAAGTGAGTGACATCACTAGACAAGACATTGCTCGAGTGGAACCCGAAAGGGAAGCGGCGAGTTGGTCGTCAGTGCAAGGGTGACTTGGAGGAGGTCATGTGAGGAGGAGATGAAAGCACGTGGGCAGACTTGGAGCGGAGTGAGAAAGTTGGCAGAAAACAGAAGGCAATGGAGACACTCGGCTGAAGCCCTATGTTCCTCTGGGAATTAAAGGATATTATATATATATATATATATATATATATATATATATATATATATATAACAGTTGTTTATCACGCGTTAATGCTTATATGTGTAGAGTCTAGACAAACATATTGATTAAAACGCACATAAAATTAATTACGAAAAGGAATATAAAAATATAGAAGTTACAAATAATTTAGGAGCCTATTGAAATTACTACTTTTAACCTCTTTAAAGTAGCCAGAGGTTTTTTCAAAAATATTAGAATATCTGACAAACAGTGCTTCAAGGCTTTCTTGTTTATACAATAAATTAAAAAATTGACTAATTTAGATGAAATTTCCCTAATTTTCATTATCATTTCGTGTTATATATCTAACCTTTAAATATGTTCCAATTATTAATATTAGGACAAGACATATAAGCAAACAATATTGCTTATAATAAAGGTTTTTGCATTTCCCAATGAATGAAAAACAAAACCACATTGCTGTTTTACTGACGTTTAGCTATTTAATTCTGCCGCTAATAGCTTTATCAAAGCAGTATTATTAAACCCGAATTTACAAAATCTCAGTAAATATATATAACAAAGAGTTAAGAGGTGAGAAAATAGACCACTTAGGTCAAGTTAAAGGGACGTATAGAAACTCAGAATAGTAATGAAGATCAGTAAACCAAATAACAAAGGTAATAGTACATCTGTTATGATACCAAAATAAAGTTAACCAACTTGATCATCGTTCATCTGTCTGGGGTCATTTTTCGTTGTCAAGCTGGTCAATTGGTAAAGATAACCAAAACAAGTGTAGATTGTTGGATTTGATCAGTGTGTAAAATTATAAAAGCAGTGTATGTGTGTGTGTGTGTTTACATAGTGAACTTGCTTATCACATTTGCATGGAGGATTTAATCATGAGCTGACATCAGTTAGAGAACCACTGGAAAACCTGGGAGTACTGGACAGCTGTTTCGTCCTAGTTTGGGACTCTCCAGCAGTACGCAGCCACCGGGATTCGAACCCAGAACCTTCTGGTTACAAGGCGAGCTCGTAGGCCAGTGAGCCACTGGGACCCGATCCAATGGTCCTTGAATTCTAACTTCTGCCAGTTCACGACATAGCGCGACCACTTCGCAATGTCTTCTTCGATGAGTTACTGCCTCATCTTCAACCTGCTGTACCCTACTGGTCACGGCTTCCCACTAGAACCCCAGGTTGATTTTGTCACTTCATGGGTGAGGGAGTTGTTGTAACCATATTCAACCAAGAAATCCAATTGAATTAGAAAAACTTGAAAAATCATCAGCCACGCTACAGAATCAGGCCACAAAATTGATTTTGACACTATTGAAATCATCATCCAGAAAAAGCATTTCAGAAATCACAAAGAAAGTCTAATATCAGAGGCACTTCATATCAAGTGGAATCCAAATTGCCTGTATAGGAATGATGGACTAAAATAGAATTTAACATGGTTACAACACCTCCCTCACCCATGAAGTGACAAAATCAACACAAATGTGATAAGCAAGTTCACTATGTAAACACACACACACACATACACTGCTTTTATAATTTTACACACTGATCAAATCCAACAATCTACACTTGTTTTGGTTATCTTTATCAATTGACCAGCTTGACAACGAAAAATGACCCCAGACAGATGAACGATGATCAAGTTGGTTAACTTTATTTTGGTATCATAACAGATGTACTATTACCTTTGTTATTTGGTTTACTGATCTTCATTACTATTCTGAGTTTCTATACGTCCCTTTAACTTGACCTAAGTGGTCTATTTTCTCACCTCTTAACTCTTTGTTATATATATTTACTGAGATTTTGTAAATTCGGGTTTAATAATACTGCTTTGATAAAGCTATTAGCGGCAGAATTAAATAGCTAAACGTCAGTAAAACAGCAATGTGGTTTTGTTTTTCATTCATTGGGAAATGCAAAAACCTTTATTATAATGAATATCATATACCCAATACCCAAATTTTTTTAAACCGTTAAAAGTGAACTTGGTTTGGACATATATAAAACAATATTGCTGTTTTCAATTAGATCTTCTTCAAGCTTTACTCTACTTTAAGTAGATTCATACATAAAAAAATTTAACCAATGATGGTGAGTTTGTGGATTAATTATAATAAAAACTGTTAAATGTTTTCAATGTTCGTGATAAGAGTGAAAATAAGGTTAATGTTAACAAAAGTACAGTGAGCTTAAGCAGCTGGTGATAAGAATAACGAGGGTAAAAAAAGGTGTATATTGTAAACAGTTCAATAAATGAACCAGGTCAGATCTTAAAAGTTAAGTAATACTAAAGGTAGGTGAAGTGGACAGGTAGTCAGAGTTTAAATAAATATCATAAAAATACGAAGAAGATGGAAAATAAGAAAAGGTGAAAGGTTTTTTCCTAATTAGAATTTACCTAGGTCATGGGAGAGACAAACGTAGAACAAACTTCCTCTGTATGCAATGACTATGATTATTCTCTCGAATTAATTCCCATAGCTTCGGCTATGTGTAAAAGGCGGGCTGGAATTCTGTTTGAAGGCTTCGATGGAATGAGATAGACAACTTTGAAGTCGCTTCTTCTATCCACACTTGGTGACTACTATCAATAAAATGAGTCAAAATAGAACTTCTTATAGATTTTACTTGGTTTTTTCAGAACTTTGAACGAAGGTGCTCAGTAATGCTGCATTTGTTGAGCTACCTATTTGTTCGCTCTAATATAACCAGCTTTCTCTGCAGGAGCAGATAACATTGTAGATACACATAGAAGTGGCACGGCACAAGTGACAGCTTGTCTTTCACTTGAGCAATCAAATTGATCGGATGGAAAATGACAAACAAAGAGTGGCTACAGTATAAGTCCGTTTTATTGCTCTCGATAATCTTAGAATCCTGAATAAGCTGCAGTTTTTAGGAACAGTTTTTTTTCTTTTTAACTGTGATTAGTTTCTCTTTATTGTACCTGGTGTTCATGCGTCTCCTTACAAATCTACTAGGACAACCCATTTGCACCACCGTACTTTAGATGTAACATAATTCAATTTCTAGCGAGTCATCTGTACAGATTCTTCTTGCTCTATAAAACCATACTTTCGACGTTGTGTGATTATAACTGATACGTTTAAGAACAATTTACTGTGTTCAAAATGTCATCCAGTAAATTATACTATTTCACTGTGTGAAAAATCTAATAAACAAATTAATACGGAACTTCAAGTCCTACCAGATGGGATACAAGTGGAGAGTTATGAATAAAAAGGGTTCTGGCAATATGGATTTAGCCCATCTTTCATATGAGTTCAGGTGTTGGTCGACTGCAGTAGTAAACGAGCTGACTTGGTGGCACACCATTTGCCCTACTCATAACCATTAATACCCTTGGCCTGCATGAAAATACGACCACACAATAAGCCATTGTAAAGCCAAAGTACTGGAAAGTAAAATAGGTTCGTGAAGGGATAGGTTCGTTACTGAATCTTTGTTCACTTGTAACTTAACTCCAATGCTAAATATTATTATCAATCAAATCTAAAAGTATGAAGTTATGGAATTGTATAAATGAAGTTATATATGTGTCCTGATAAAACTATGAGCTATAAAATGTCCTTAAAAAGTTGTCGGTAGATTGTATTGTATCATTATGCTTTTATCAAATAAAATTAAAAATATTCTGCCTAAATGCCCAAACCCGTTTCTTGTATGGATGAAATATGATTTTTGTGATATAATCCACTTGCCGCAAAGGAGACTATTTGGTCTAATCATTTTGTGTAAACATTTCATAAATACCTCCCCGATTGAATAAAGCTGACCAATACAACCCTTTACATTAAAATGCGACTAAACACCAATCAGGCGGTTAAAAGTGTAGGAGAGTAGAGTATTCTTTTCTATTGGATACTAGTCAGTAACTGGTGTGATGTGTGTCTCTAGTCCTATCTTTGGTGCAGACTGAATTCCATCACTCAAGTTCACAATGTGGCCGCCATGCTAGGTGGCTCGCCATCACGCTGCACTGTAACTTGTTGGTATTAGATGGTTAAAGACAATCGGCCACAGGAAACCTTGCCTGATCCAGGTTGGCAATCACCAGTCAACAAGGGATATCTGCAACCTCGAAGGAACTCATGTCCCTTCTGTTGCCAAATATAGGACTAGGCACACACACACACACATTACCCTAGTCACTGAATAGTGTTCAATAAAAATTATCCAATACAGTCCTACACGAGGTCAGACGCGAGCTCGGATAGCTCAGTGGTAACCTCTCTGACTGCAGCAATGGTTGATGCCGGTTTGAGTCTCAGAAAGAACTTGAGTTCCTTCAAGATTGGGGATACGCCTTGCTGACTGACTGGTGAGTGCCAACTAGCACGAAACCTAGGTCAAACAAGGCTTCCTGTAGGTTGCCTCTAACCGTTTAATACCAACAATAGGATAGTTTACAGATAATTACAATTGTCTGAATTACTTTCATACCATTTAGTGAAAAGACTTCATACCAGTGTATTACATGGAACTGATTGAAGACTGATAGAGATAAAAGATTTTCTGCAGACAGTTTAGTTATTAAAAAAAACACTTTGCACAAAACTGAAGGCCTTTATGTTTATTTTATTTTATAAATTTTCTCCTAAAATTAAGCCTATTAAATATTCAAAATAGGAATACTTCGAATTTCAAGTTAAAGGTACAGAGATGTGGGAATCTCTGAGAAGATTCATTTCATAGAAGGATGAAAGTCATAAACATGAAAAGAGAGACTTTATTTTCTTACTTTACTTGGTCTATCGTAACCATCTTGGGCTATTTCAGCTACTGGTTGACAATAGTGAGCAGCTGCTGTTTGACTGTTAACTATTTCGCTCCAGGTTGAATGGACAGTTCATCGCCTTGAAGCTCTGTACAACCGTAAAATTCAACCATTAACTCTTCATTGAATTTCCAAACCTTTTCAAAGAAAATTAAGATGAAAATATTCAAGTGTTGGTTTGCAGGGATTTGATTGGTTTCAGGATTTCATCATGAACTGACATTTGTTAGAGGACCATTGGAAAACTTGTAAGCACTGGATAGCTGCTTCGTCAGCCTAGTTTGGGACTCTTTATCAGTACGCACCCACTAGCTCTATTCAGGTAGTTAGTTACCTGGGTTCTAGCGGGAAGTGGGGTACAGCAGGTTAGGTGTGAAGACGAACACACGCCAAGGATGACATTTGCCAGTGGCCTCACCATATCGTGAATTGGCAGAAGGTGGACTTCATGGACCACTGGACCGAGTTCCAGAGACTTGTAAACAGAAGGTCCCGGGTTCGAACCCTGGTGGTGGGTGCGAACTGATGAAGAGCCCTAAACTAGGATGATGAAACAGCTGGCTGTCCAGTACTCCCTGCAAGTTTTCCTATGGTCCCCTAACAGATGTCAGGTCATGATGAAATCCTTAAAATGAATATAGTTGAATAAGAGATTAATAGTGTGCATAATTTTGGTGCCAGCAAGTCTAAGGCAAAAATTTTGGCTGTTATCCAGTGATTTGGAAAACGTTTCATGGAAATATACATATATTCTTACAATATTCTTATCTTATTTAATTTATTTACTAAAATACAAACTTAGTACATCGTGAATACAAGGAGATGTTCCACGCAAAATCTGTTGGTTTGTGCGACTGTTGGGATTCTACCGGCGGCCAAGACCGAAGAAGGAGGTTGTCTTAAGAGACCAACCTGACCTCACATAAAATTTGACTTGAAGTCCGTTCCATAAGGCAGTGAAATAGCATTTCCATAATTTACGGTAACCAAAATAGGTCAATATGCCATTCGATCCAATCGGATTCTGGAGCCAATGCACACCATAGGTTGGAAATCAGGGTTTCCAACCCCCTAGATAGAAGACATGCATGTTCATCACTCCAGCTGTAATCACCAGACGTTTGCATTCACCCTTTTCATTTTTGTTAAGAACACTCCTTTAGTATGAAGGCGGCGAATAAGACTTCATTCTTACAGAGCGTTTGTTTTCATTGTTTATTACCTAGAATATGGAAATTCATATCGAATTGTATGGTGAGGATGACCAATTAAAAGATCCATTTAAGTATATTAACTAATTTTTAAACCCGTTCATGAAAACACGAAGTTAGTTGAGTGTGAAAAACGTAATTAAGATTGTGACAAAGTGAAAAGCAACTGGCTAAGAACCAGTGGGCTAAAAATGATATCCATAGGTATTCACATAATCATAAGTGTTCTACATCGTGTACTGTGACACGATGTATTTGTAACAATAAATAAAGTCGAAAGTTATGCTATGAGTTTTCGGTTTAATGATATCTCATAAAATTCGGCTAGCGTACAGATAACAATTGATAACGTAACTTGGCACTGAACTGACAGAAGTTGGAAGTTGCATACTACTGCGTAGACGGGGATTCACTTGCCATCCCCTTGACAATGTATTCATACTGTTGCAGACTGTATCATTGGAAAATGGGCGTTCAGCCCTTCTTGGTTTTAGATTACTCTTCGAATCAAATCTGTCTTTGGGGAAATTAGTCTTAGAATGTCGTTTCAAAAGTATGATATGTATACATATGTACAAATGAATGGTTATGGCTTAGAAATTGAAATGAAAAACTTTCCTCCAAACGTTTTTTTCATTCCTCAGAGACAGGTGTTTATATTGACTACTTTTGACAGATTCGCGCTATAGATTCCAAGGTGTTGAAGCTGGAATTTCAACTGATATTGTACTACTCAATAATATTTTCAATCCTAATCAGAAATAAACAACTAGAGAACTGGTTGATACCAGTCGGCTAATTAATTGCTGATAAACTATGCGTTATTCTGCCTTAGCTAACCGGAATGTACAGTGTAAAATCTGACTCATATACAAGAATTACAAAAGCAAGATTAACTGATGATACTTGACACTAATTTGTTTCTTCTTTTTTGAGTGATAAAATGTGTAATAATAAGGGTTACTCACTTGTAATATTGCTTTGTCTCGACGCCAAGATGTTGATAATATATGATTAGATTCTGATTCAATCTCAAGTGCATCTGACCCACATATATGAGGACCATGATAAATCCTAGAGAAATTTAAATGATGAGAAATATGTCTTCTTAGTCTATGGTAATTCACTACTGTTGTCTGTGATGTTATAAAAGTAATACATTTATTGATTTCCTAAGCTTTTCGAAAATATACCTCTGAAGAAAATGATAACACGTAAACACATGCAAAATACTCGATTTCCAATTGATGAAGGTTTCCTGGTGGGTCGCAGTTAGCACTAGAATCCAGAATGCGCATCTCGTTAGCTAGATGTACCTTCAATCTTTGTTACATGATCGTGTAACCACTGGGACTCAAACTCATCGCCTATAGTTTCAAATGCCAAAGCGTAGTTTCCACAGTAGCCTAGTGGATAGTGCTTTGGAGTTTGAAACGAAGATTGCCAGGTTTAAATCTCAATGGAAACACCATCATACACTGGGGATTGCAGGTACATCTATCTGCTGAGTCCTTAAATAAGATGAAGTAAGCATCCTGAATTCCAAAGCTAGTCACCATCCATCAGATAACATCATGTTAATATTCAGACATCATCACAGTGGTCGTACTAGGAGCTGACATATCAACAGAGGCCGAAAGTCTTGATCCAGTCAATCATGAGGGAAAAATTAAAACTGACTTAAATAAATAAACAGTAAGAGAAAGGTACAGTCTCAATAGGCCAAATTATCAGAATAAAGTTGTTTAAGGTACCAAACAATTTTTGAACGAGTGGTTGTCCATATGTTCATATAAGTATGTACTCTCCTTCAAATATCAGTTAACACCCTTTTTTTGGTGGTGTTGTTGTGTTCCCTAATCCAGACGGTTTGATCATAAAGCGTTCATTATCATTCTGGACAAAATCTTCGCTGTCAGACCAACCTTGACTGACTACTTCGAACAGAAGTGCAAAAGTATAAGTCGACATACTTCATGTAATACACAAGAAAAGGAAAAAGACAAAAAAATCCAGAAGAACTATAATGAACAGGATGGTACCACAGAAGCAATAATTACCGGGAGAAACATGAGGATTTCATGGATCTGGAAGATTAAAAGAAGCTAATGTATCTACGCCGCTAAGAATGATTTTGAGCCATAACACCAGTAGTCACCAGCCACTGGTTCTTAGCATCCCGAAATCTTCAACTAGACAGTCTACACCTCTTTACGTGGTACAAACCAACTCCGATAGACTTCATGTATTTATGCCAAGTTTCTCATTTGACCACTCCTTACTCTTTTCCAATCCAAACCAACACAGTCAAGCCCATATTTACATTAGTAATGAATTAACTTACTATTATTTTTAGAAAGTAGTGCGTCGGTAGCACAGCGGTAGAATGCTCGCTAACCACTCACGTCGTCCGGGATTCGATCCCCGGCCACCGACGCACTCCTTTACCGCACTAAGCCAGTAATAAAGCTGGTATAGAGGAAAGGTTGGGAATGAGACTAGCAATCCCATCATGTAAAGATAAACACTGCTAGAGAAGCTCCAAGGTTGAAGCCCTATTTTCCACTGGGAACGTGAAGGGTGGAAAAAACTATAATTATAATTTAATGATTCTTTGACTATGGTTATACGGTCTTTTGAGATTACAACTGGGAGGCTACGTGACGAGTTTAATAGTAATTGGCAAGCTAAAAAAATCAATTCGGAAAACTTTTAATACCAGTAAATTGCAACTCGTGTCTTCTACATTCGCGGTGGTGATACTATATCAGAACGATGAAGTGCTGAGAATGGTCATCTCTTTCTGTGTCTATCAAATCATCTGCTCTTTCGTATCCAGCTACATAGACTGTTCTCCTTGGAACTTAGTTTTTTTTTCATGCTTTCAAACGTTTTTAGAGTAGATAAATAAAGATGTTACGGAAGCATTTACAGTTCGACATTGGGACGCCTAGTCCCAAGAGGACCACAGACTGGTGTGTACCTAATAATCTGCTAAAAGCCACTATAACCCATTGCTCTTCACTAGAAACAGTCAGTCAGAACCTCGTATACAAACACACATCTAGCTACTTTATTGTCTTGAACTGCTGTGGAACCTATAAGATTTTAACTAGTGTAATGTGGCATACATTTACAGGTGACCTTTTGTCCTGTATAAATAAACACCACTCACCATCAGTTGTTTATTACTTTTTCGATAGAAATAATGTGATTCATTTACATATGACGTAAATTGAAAAGACATAAGTCTCATAAAAGATCTACAGTTAAACGGTGTTCTAAAATGTCATGGAAGTGTCTATACAGGTCAGTTAATTATATCATTTAACAACAAAACATATGAAATAACACATCAGGATGAAGAAAAAGGGATGAACTGAGGAAATGTCAAGTAATCTCAAATAATCCTACAACGCCAGTAGACGAACGGCGTACAGAAATGATTATTATTATTATAAAAAACTGTAAGATTCTAGAAATATTTATTTATGAGAGTAAAAGACGTGTGAGTCGTGGCACATCGGCAGAATGCTCGCCACCCACACACGTATTCCGGGGTTCTGTCATTGGCCACCGATGCACTTCTTTACCTCGCTAAGTCAGTAATAAGACTCGCAAAGAGGGAAGGTTGGACATGAGGCTAGCAATCCCATCCTGTAGTAATAAACACGACTACTACCGAAACTTCAAGCCTCTAGCTTTAAGCTGTATGTTCCACTGGGAACGTAGAGGAATAAAAACGGAAAGTAAAAGACTCAGAATAAGCATAAAGTGTACCACATAATTAGGATTTTGAAAACAAAGATGAAATGAAAAGTCAAATGAGAATGGATTACACATACCTAAATGTTGTACAAGTCACTACAATTTTAAAACCATCATAGTAAAAGACATTCGACAAATCACTTCTGCATGCAGTCTTGATGGTTCTTTTTGTGTGTAGAAACCGCAATTATTGTAGACAGAAGATGTAGTCGGAGACAACTTCGAACGGTTTGGCCTTACATTATATTTCACCTTTTACTGTTTCTCTACTGATGTAGAATGATGTGTAGGAACGAGGTGCTGAAGAATTGAGCTATTGGTTAGTGTGATTTCTCCTATTGAAAAATACACTGCGATAAGTTCTAACGCAAGTCTACACAGTATCTTACTAGTTCCACAGGAGTAAGTGAAGTGATATATACACAGTGATATTTTCAGAAGTGAGACACTGTCTTTAACATTTTCATGAACAAAAGGTTGTGGGGAGAAGGTGAAATATAGAGATGCAGAGGAAGTATTCCGGATGGGTTTCAAGTGAACAGTTATGGCTCCTGCCGCTTACAGTATCTGGTACCCAGTGGCTTTAGACAGATTAGTAGTTACACGACAGACAATTTGTGCTAATATCGAACAGTTAGTGCCTTCTACTACATATTTATTTCTCTATACTAGTAGATGTTTTCGAGCAGGAAAATTAATTTCCTAGACTTTGAAATACAAACACCCAAAACCTGTGATGTGTAAATCGTTTTGAAATTGGTTGGAGGATTTCATCATAAGCTGGTATCAGTTAGAGAATCATTGGAAAACCATCTAGGAGTACTGGACAGCTGCTCCGTCAACCTAGTTCGGGACTCATCATCAATTTGCGCACCCACCCCGCTTCCAGGGTTTGAACCCAGGACCTTCTGGTTACAACCCGAGCTCGTAGGCCATTAAGCCACTGGGACCCAATCAAATGGCCAACCCATGAATTCTACCTTTGTCAATTTATGACATAGCGCGACCACTTCTCAATGTCTTCTTCGATAAGTTACTGACTAATGGTTCTAGATTGGAGCCCCAGTGGGTGCGTACTAATGAAGAGTCCAAAACTGGGACAGAACAGCTGTCCAGTACTCCTAGCTGTTTTCCAATGGTCTCTAATGTCAGATCATGATGAAATCCTCCAACCAATGGAACAAAATCCCTACAAAAACCAATCTTGTTGAAATCTTTACATGTCTTGCTAACATTTCATAACATAAACTTCAGAAATTTTAGCTAACAGACAAGGAATTTAAAAATGTATGGTTGGGTTAGAACACTGTTACACACGGACGTAAAATTCAATAGAAAATCCACCAAATCACTTTGTTTATCTGATGAGCAAAACTTAGCTGGTGCACATTTTTTTTATTCTAACTGTCTGCGTTATACCAAAATGCTGGAATCCTTTCTGTTCATACTTATACTTTTATTATAACGTCATGTATGCTCTCCTTATATTTTCTATTCTGGTTACAGAACTGTTTCATCTGAACATCACTCGTTCCTTGTTTTGCCATCTTACAAAAACATATTGTCTGTAGTTAGGTAACTTACTTTTTTAATATACTCATTCTAAGTAAGCTTTGTTTCTGCCCAAACTTCCTAATCCCGTCCTTTTTTGAAGAATATTAGTTTAATTATCTGTTTATTGTATAAGAGCTTTGGCTGCTGTTGGTAACATTCTGGTGGTGGTTATTGTCTGGGTGAACGGAGTAGATAACTGTTTCTCCAGTTGACAATTTCGATAGTCCATATCCATTTCACATGCTGTCACACATTCCTAGCACTTTCAAACCATATTTTCTCATTTCTTTGTCAACCTGGACAGCTTTCCATGCTTCGTACATTTTGGCGAACATTCCACCGCCCCATCCTCATTCTTGCTTTCGTGGGAATAAGGCAAATCGACTACTGGCTGACTGAATTCCCGAAGGCTTTTACCAGCCCTGCGTTATCTTGCCTCTCCGACTCCAGCAAAAAATAAGTTTGTTTTTATATTTCTAATATTTCTCTTGTACTTTGAAATTTCCGTAGCCACTGGGTCGGTAGTCCCACGCTCAACGCTCCCTCTTTTTCCAGGCTTGGGACCGGCTAGAAAACTACCGAGCTAGTAGACTAGACGAGGTTGTACAATTATCCTTCGTATACATACTGAGTTCTTCTAACTCTTCATAATTTAACGGACTTATTTATATTTCCTACTTTTCCTACTTTTCGTAATTGAGAAAAAAAGCATGTTCAGATCTTTACTGTAATTCATATTTCGTATATTGTTCATGTTGTAGCCAGCTGAGTAGAATCCGCGAAATAATAAAAAGTGGGGCTCATATTAAACCGGCATCTTGTGGTTCGTGTTCTGTTCAAGTTTAATAACAAGCAGAATTGTATAAAGTTTATATTTTCATTTTCAAGTATTTTAATTTGTAGGGATTTAACTTGTTTAATTCTGATCACAGATTGATATCAGTTAAAGTACCATCGAAAAACAGGGAGTACTGAACAGCTATTTCGTCCTAGTTTGGGACTCATTGACAGAGCGCATCCATCGGGTTTCGAATCTAGGACCTTCTGGTTATGAGGTAAGCTTGTAAACCGTTTAACTGCTGGGATCCGGTTCAATAACCCATATATATTTTAACTTCTGCCAGTTCGCAGTCAAACTTGAAACAGATCAAATCCCTGAAGACGGAATGCTGAAAATTAATCTGATGCTCGCTAATGACCAGCTACAGGACGAAGTTACCTGGAGTTCTAGTGAGAACTCATAACCAGTGGGGTCCAACAAGTCAGTTAAAAGAACAGTTATTCGCCGATGGCATTAGCTGGCGGTTATACTAGTTGGAATTCATGGGTTATTGGATTTCATGTGAGTGGCTGAATAGTCTGAGAGATTGTCTTCTAATCAGGAGGTCCTGGGTTCGAATCCCGACTAGATCACGCTGATGAAGAATCTCAAACAAGAACGAAGCAGTTGTTCAATACTCCCTTGTGGTTTTCAGTGGTTGTGAAACCGATTTTGTTCCGTGGTCAAAATTTGTACTTTTAGTTAATGTCTTATTTTTTTAACATGTGCTGCAATAAATACCCACATTTGATCAGTAACAGAAATCGCATTTTCAACAAAAAGGTGAGGTCATTCAGTCAATTCTTCTATACCAGTCAGAAACTTGCACTGCGTGTTAGTCATGAAATGGATTTCCAACACGTGTCAGACTTTCATCAGCAGCTGCCTTCGCTGGCCCAAAACTGAAGATCAAATGGCCATAAACAATAAACACAATGAATCTTTGGCCTGGAGCTAATCAACCAAGAGTCGATCGCTCAAAAAATATGCAGGAGAAAGTGGAGATGGATAGAGCATACATTGAGGAGGCTGCCGAATGGCATTGCACGCCAGGCCCTCTAGTGGAATCTGATGGGAAGCGACGAGTGGGTCGCCAGCGCTGGGGTGACATAGAGGAGATCGTGTAAGGAATAGATGAGAGGGTTTGGTCAATCGTGGAGCTAACCAGCTGAAGAGGACAGCATAAAACAGAACAAAGTGGAGGTATGTTGCTGAAGCCCTATGTTCCACTCTGAACGCAAGTGAATAATAATATAATAATTAGTAACATTATCTTGATCATTTGGATCAATAATATTTACTTCGATTTGCCGACTTCCACTCTACTATATACTTAAATAATAGCTTAGAGGTTAATCCCATTTTAGTTCGTTTATTGCATAGATCACACGGTGAAACGGTATTATTTAATGGATGGTATTTCGAACAAAATTTATTGTTCATAATCAAATCAAATGCAGCCAGACAACCTCGAAAATTGATTTCTACATTCCTATTTTTTGCTCCCCATTTGCTGTAGGGTTATTAGAAATCTTAGATGTCTAGGATAGATTTTGAATCATTCTTATGGCATGTATTCTCAGGTGATTTGATAAACAAAGCTTCCGTTATTAATCTCTCCCTCCACTTCATTATATTATACTTTAAGATTGTCATTTTAACCCGCCCTGTTGTATTGTTTTGTAAAACGGCATATAGTGCCATATTTTATTTGCTCTGTTTGAAACAAAGGGTTTCAAAAGTACATCTCCATTCCGCAGTGCTCTGTGAGGTCTTATTTTTTAACAGGCGTTACAAAAACCCTTAAGCTCTCCTCTTCTCACCACACGATACCCTCAGTGTCACCTTGGACACCAACCCAAACTCCTACTGCTCCATTTGGATTCCAATGGAGGATCTGCCTGGTGCGTGATGTAACTCAACGGCATCATCAGCGGTTGTCCAGTCAACTCGTTTTCCTCCTCCATATTTTTGCGGCGACAGCTTCCTGATTAGTCCATTTAATCCTTCCACATTACATGCGAAATTAAGGTTTGTCTGGTATTCATATCTAGCAGACTAATAAAGTTTATACTTAGCCACTTCAAGTTTAGTCCCAAATCTTGGTCATGAGAAAAAAAACCAAGACTAACTCAACAACCAATCACATTAGACTTCGCGTGGGCGGATGCGATTAGCAGATATATCAACGGAATGTTTAAAAAACGGCCACAAAAAGATGACGGAATAACCTTCAGCAGGAAAACAACCAATCAGAAGACTACACCTCTAGGCTAACAATAACGAATAATAATGTACATAAAAATCTATAAATATCTGTTGATTTCCTCAATAAATGATCTGTTGCCTGGCCCTTGTCTTCTGTCGTTACACTTTGACTAATATATATTTCAATGTAATGATATAAACAATACATTTTTACTAAAGCATTGCAAAAAAAAAGGAAAAAAACAACAGCCGGCCAAAACAATAAACAAAAAATAGAGTGAATAAGTTAAGCAGAATTACCATAAAGAGTGTAAATATCGATCATCCCATATTTGTATTGTATCATCCCAACCGCCAGTTATAAAAATGTGTACATAGTCTTCATAAATAGCACCACGTGGATGATATTTTACAGCGCAGATACGTCGAACATGTCCATCCATTTTATCTTTTGAAAAGCTTAATCGTAAATATAATGGTAAAATAAACAAAAAATAAATAATAATTAAATGTAAGAGATATTTATTTCATGAGCTAATAAGGAACCGCTAAAGTGATCCATTCTCGATAAATATGCGTGTAGTCCAATACACAATCGATTCTATTGTTCTCATCATCACCATGTTCAAAAGAAGAATAAAATAAAGAAATCAGTGGAATATGAAGTATGTCAATAAATTTGATGGAAGCCTTATTTGAAAAAGAAATGATAATAAATTTTCATACATTTATTCCCCTCAATGAATTTGCACAAAACAAGAACTACAGTTTTTGCAGAATAATAGGGTATTACCATCTTTTATTTCGTTGCCTTCTCGTCAGCTGCTTACAGGTCAAAGACATTATTAAATATATCTACAAAAATAATTTTAACATACACAGAGTTCGTCTTAAACAAAAATCAATCGATCAATATATATATATATATATATATATATATATTGAATACTATTCCGAACAATAATAATCATACACAATGGAAACTTTTCAACATTTCGCATTCGAATGAAAGAGAAATGAAAATATCCAGTTACCAGGCAGGGCAAAGAAAGACTGATAACCGCTTCTTTCTGTACGCATAAATAAATCAGGTTTCAGGCGCTTGGTGGAAATGGTTTCAGCAAACTTGAGAAGAATTGAGCTCTTTTGCCTATTGATAATTTTGAACGACTTTTCGACGTCCATCTCATGACCGACCTGTGTCAAGGAGATGACTGGCGATGGCACTGTTTTTTGATGTGGTTGTCTACTCTGAGCTGGATGATTAATTTGCGAAGCTTTCATCGCTCTACTAAGTGACATCTTCAGCGCATACTTCATTTCGAATTGAAGTGAGCTTTTAGATTTCTCCAAGGTTTATTACTCATCTCACCTAGTGGGTGACCTTGGACGTGATTGGTTGTTTTTGTGTGTGTTTTCACACCTTCTAGGCAGTTACTTGTATTGGAACTGATTGTTTCTTTGACTTGAATTTTGACCCTTTGGGTGTGAAGTTTCTTTCTTATCGGTTGATAAATTTTGTCTATCTCTATGTGTCTATTGATTGATGATTCACTGGAATGCCAAGCTTCTAAAAATTCTCTAGCATTCTTGTTGTTTCCTCTGTCCAATATTTGGACGTTGTCCCAGTCGAATTGATGTCCGTGGTTGTCTGTGTTTAAAGCACTGTTTAAAGCATTTGTTCCCTTTAGACATAAGCTTTTTGGTACATGTTCAGAAAATCGTAGATATACCCTTCTTTATGTCCTTCCAATGTAACTGCTCTCACAGATACATGTAAATTTGTATATACAGTTGGAGTTAACATGAGAAGGATATCTATCGATTTTTGATTGCACCAAAGAGCGAGTTGTTCGATAGATGGGGACGAGCTTAGCTGCAGGATAGGCTATGGCTAGTGATATACTCAGCCTTCTGCTGATCATTGCTGCCATGTTTTCACCCTTATAATCAAGCTGAATGTAGATTGGCTTTTTACTCACTGTGATTTGTTTTACATGCGTGACTTCAGATCTTCCATACTTGTTAATGAACTTTTGAGGGTATCCATTGCCCTTCAACATCCTTTCAATAAACTCAAATTCTTCCTCTAACTTTTCTGTAGAACATATTCTCCTTGCTCTAGCAAGGAACATTTTTTCTATTCACAGGGCACACGTTGGACCGAATGAAGACTCCTGAAGACCTGGACTCCGTGGAGGATTTATGTCCTATGTTCCATAAGGGAAGACTAACAAGTTGGCGGAAAATCAATGAAAATAGGACTTCAGGTGAACATAGAGAAGACACAGGAGATAAAGGTAGCTAAACAACAACAACTGTAACTACAATAAGCTCCAATCACCGTCAGCTGGAGGAATTTAAAGTAGGTTACTTATTAACTTATCTCGTTAGAATTGTTTTAACTATAAGCGGCAACTCAGATTGGGGTATCGAACACAACATGGTTGGAAAGGCGAAATGAATCTTCATTACTCGGAAATCGAACTGGAAATCTACTGTACTCAGCATAAACAATGAGATTCAGATTTTCATTGTTGAAGTCATGTCAGTCAATGCTTGGCGTTTCCGACAGGCTACTGCAAACTTTCGCCAACAGCTGTCCACTTCGCTCCATATTGAAGACCAAATGATCAGAACAGATGATCAATATAGAAATCTGAAAACAAACGAACCAAAAACCTACTCCCCAACGACTACGCTGAAGAAAATGGCGATAGATCAGGCACATGCTGAGAAAACCGTTTAGTGACACTACACTTCAGACTATAGAGTAGAAGTAAAATGGAGAAAGATGAGATGGGCATAGGTCCGAAGGTGACATGAAGCAGAAGAAAGCCCACAAATAATCATGGAGCCGACTAAAGAGGACTCCAAAGAACATTATAAAATTGAGATATGTTGCGGAAACCCTATTTTTTTTACTTGTAACCTAAGAGAATGGTAGTAATATGATAATAAGAAACAAGTTTTACATTCAGAGATCCAACAGTAACCCAGAGATATACTTCGCCTCAGACTGATAGTCGATTATACTTCATCCGATGTTACTTTCACTTTTGAATATGCTGTGTTAAATTTAATATCTATGTCTTCGTTACTGGAAAAGTGACCTTTAATAAAATTTTTATAAACTGACTTATTCTTCAGTGTATATTGCTGTGACTAAAACTTAGTTCTTTCTAAGATTTGTGAAATTTACAGCTACGAACCGTATCACTTCTCTTTTAGTGTGTTACATTCTCCCCGGAATTTGTCCGCAGAAAACAGATGTACAGATGTGAACGCAAGTGACATTTTATTTGGATTGTAGATATTTCTTGAGGATAAATTAATCTAAAATACGTATACACTGCCCATATACTTTATGTTTTGCAGAGTACTCCATGCTAGTTAAGCAGACGTTTATATCTGTACTTTTCCTCCAAGAATCAGTCTTCTTAAGCTAACGATATGCACTTTGGTAACATTCCGAAATTTCATCCAAACAGCGCCGTCATCAGCATGAGGATTTTTTATACCATGATATGTTGACCAACTCTCACTTAGATTGTGATGAAACTTTTGAATGTATTTTACTTGAGGAAGATAACATATGGTTTTCGGGTGTATGTTTGCAGGCATTCAACTTATTCAAGTCTGACTGCAAATGGACTTCAGTCAGAGAATCAAGGAATAATACCGGGATTACTAAACAGTTGTTTCATTCTTCTTCTTCTTCGGGACTTTTCAGCATTACACCTCCACTATCCGCCAACGATCAATATTCTGGTATTCTTTAGCCAAATTTCTGTCTTTCTTATTTTTAGACAGTGTACAGTACCATTTATGCGTCAGTAATTCAACTGTAAAATGCTCGCCAACCATGCTTCACGTGGTCCAGGATTTGATTCTCAGCCGACATATAATCTTAAACCTCAATTGGTAGTAAGCCTAGACAAGAGGGAAGGTCAGGCATGAGGCTGGGAACCTCACCGAGCAAAGAAAACAGCACCACTGCTACTGCAACTTTGAAGCTCAAATCTTGAACCATTACGTTCCACTCGGAACACAAACGGTACTTTTTTGACTGGACAGTATTCAGTAACTAGTCCTATCTTTGATGCAGACTGAATTCTATCAGTTAAGTTTGCAATGACTAGTGTCCAGTCAAAAAGAAATATCCAATACAGTCCTACAGGAGGTCAATCGTAAGCCCGAATAGCTCAGTGGCAACTTTTATGACTGCAGTGCTGGAGACGCGGGTTCGAGTCTCAGAAGTGATATGACTCCCTTCAAGCTCGCAGTATGCCTTGCTGACTGGTGAGTGCCGACTAGCATGAATCCTAAGTCCAAGGTTTCCTGTCGGTTGCCTCCAACCATCTAAGAACAGTACTTTTATACAGCTAATTATACAGCTAACAATAAACGAAGTTTTTATTAGCAATGGTTTCATTTTCATAGCTTTGCAAGATATATATATATATATATATATGGATTGCAATAGACAATGACAAGTACTTTGTTTTTAAAATCTGACACTGAGTGGAAATATTGAAGTGTCATAATATTGGTTCAGATGATTAGGAATCATAGACTTTATTCATTCATATTGCTTATCACTTTGTGATTGATAATCACTTTAAACAATGCGATAGCACTTCAATATTTCCACAAACTGTCATATTTAAACAAACGTACAAATAAGCGTAATTGTCTATTGTAATGCAATATATAAATACTATTGTACTTCTGTTAAACTGTCACAAAAGGAGAATTTCCTTAAACTATTGGTTTTTAGGGTATTTATTTAGATTAATTTCCAATTAAGCCACATCAGTCAGAGAACCATTGAAAAACATAGTGTACTGGAGACTTCTTTCGTCCTAATTTGGGACTTTCAGAGGCAAGTGTACATAACCCCACTGGAGGTCGAATTTAGGACTCTCAGGTCCTGAGACAAGCCCAATGACCATCTAGTCTCTGAAACGGGTCCAGATAGCAATTTGTTTTCCTAAATCTTGATTAAATGTCTCATTATTTTTATCCCGATGCTTTCCGAGTAGAAAATAATGCTTCAAGCTTTACGTTATCAGTAGCGGTGACATTACTAACCTTATACCCAACCTTCTCTCTTTTAGTAACATACTACTGTAACAACAGAAGACAAGGGCCAGGCAACAGATCGTTTATTAAGGAAATCAACACGTATTTATAGATTTTCATGTACATATTATAGATTATTGCTAGCTGACAAACACAGTCTTCTGATTGGTTGTTTTCACAGAAAGTTAACCTTGTATCTCTTTGTGACTGTTTCTTGAATGTCAGATCATCTATATGTTAACTGTATCCGCCTACGCAAAATCTGCTGTGGTCGGTTGTTGAATCAGTCTTTGTTCATATTTTCTCACGACCAGTATTTTTGGGGCGTAAACATTGACGTAAATTAATGTCTACCAATTTGGCTAGCAGCCTGCTCTCACCACACTACTATCTAGTAAACTAGAAGAGAAATTTAAGAGTGCTCCAGCCTGTACATTTCACAGAAATGTACAGTGAAATATCACGAAAGTAACATAGATTTAATTTGTTTAAAGGACCGACTGACATCTAGTAAATAACATGTTTATTCGTGTAAAAAAATAGTTTAGTTTCCAAGTGTCAGTTTGACTGATCTCGAGCTGAGTTCATTTAAACAACCACTGCAAACTAAGGAGTACTCGACAGTTGTTTTGTCCCAATTTGTGACTCTTCATCAGTAAGTACGCATGATCCAACCGGGAATCGAACTGAAATCAATTTGTGATCAAACGCGAACTCAGCCGAAGTAAACTTTTGAAAATTTATCTACTGATCACTTGCTAATGACTGACTGAAGGATGAAGGTGCCGAAAAATTCAAGTGGGAAGACGTGATTAGCAGAGTCTTCCAAGATGGACGTAACACCATGTATTTACTGAAGACATTGCGTTGCATTCACGCTATGTATCACAAAATGGTAGAGGTTAGAACTGATAGGTTATTGGATTCTGCCTCAGTGTGGATAGATAGTTCAATTCTTAGACCAGACTGTATCTTTGCCTGTCAAATGTCAATGTGACTGCTTATACTAAATGGCTTTTTTCAGAAATCAGCCAGTGGTTCAAGGAAAACGGTCTTACCTTAAACCCCTCCAAATGCCAAACAGTCAATTTCACCTTTAGGCACAAATCTGACTTAAACAAACTGGTTAGCACTCACGGGTGTGCAACATAGATGGCACTGAAATAGAAACCAAGTCGGAAATTAAATATCTAGGCGTCATTCTATCTGCTGATCTTTCCTGGTCGTCTCATCATATCTTGATGATTTCTAAGAAAATATTCCGCCTTACCTTCTACATCGAGAAGTTAAGACATTCTGAAATGACCCAACCCTTACTCTTACGATTCGTTAACTCTTGCATCCTGCCTATTATTCTCTATTGTTCCTCCTTAGTTTTCCAGGGCTGCTGAAGAAAGACTATATCTTATTACGCAGGATGCCAAAGGTTGTCAGCAGGGTAAGCAATGTGCCAATTAACCAGCGTGTTAATATTCTGGTCGACAGGCACTTCGACTCATGTGGAAAATGGGCTAAATCCATTCTATCTAACTCACACCACCCTCTTCATTCAAAACTCTCCGCTTGTATCTCATCAGGCAGGACCAGAAGCCTATATAGAAAGCTATATGCTCGCACTAGCAAGTACAAAACTCAACAATACCCTACTTAGCTCGTGTTCTGTGCGATAAAGAAAGCATTAGGCGTGATGCCTATAACTTATTAAATTGCCAGTAGAAGAATTGGATCTCGTCTTTCCAACTCATATCATTCATAGATACAACGTTTTCTTTATTTCTTTTCCTTTTTTCTCTCTTTTTTTCTGTTCTGTGCTGCTTTGTTTCTCTCTTCTTTACAAACTCTACTTAAAACATCCTTCGTTCTCTCACACTCTGTATATCTCGACCTTTTGTTACCGCTTACACCAGTAAATATGCTAGCATCTACTTCTCTAACACCTTCAAACACTCTGTTCAATTTTGACTTTGCTACCGACATGCCAATATTTTGTTGTCATAATGAACTGAGATTATCCTAATTTATGTAGAATTTTATTTATTGATAATGTACCAGCTGGATGCAATACTGTAGTAAAATGCTGAGAATTCCATTCTGTATCACAAGTACTGTTTTGGAATAAAGCAAATTATTATTATTATTAAACAACTGTATCTATTGAACTAATGCTTACCTTGAACTGCATATACGTAGACATGTGCGAGATTTCAAATCATACACTCTAAGATGACAGTCATCTCCACCTGTTATAAAACGTTTAGCATCATATGAACATGAACAGGCTAGAATTTGATTCATTGGTTTCTCAGCATTTATTCTTGGTTGAATATCTGATGGATTTGTAATTCTCTCCTCTGTGAAAGTGGCCAAAAGACGTGAAGATTTCGTAGCTCCTGTATAATGCCATAGACGTGCATGACCAGATACATCTTGATGAAAAGTAATTTTAAAAAATGCAAATGAATAAATGGGGAGATAAGTGATTGGAGTTTGAATAATACTTGTTTCACAATGCCATATTTATTCATAGACTTAAATCGTACAGATAGTGAATTCAAGTATTACTTTGTAGGGATTTGATTGATTGGTTACAAGATTCATCATGAGCTGATGTTGGCCAGAGAAACATTGGAAAACCTTCAGGGAGTACTGGACAGCCTTTTCGTCCCAGTTTTGGACGCTTCATAAGTACACACCCACCGAATTTCAGACCAGAGGCCTCCTGGTTATAAGTCGAAGTCAGTTCATGATGAAATCCTGTTCCCAATCAACCAAATACCTACAAACTAATCCTTGAATATTACTGAGATGCTCACAAACGACTGGCCCTATTCAAGTAGGTAGATACTTGGGGTTCCAGTGAGAAGTCATGACCAATGAGATACATCAAGTCTACTATGAGGACAAATACTCGCCAGCGATGATAATTGCAAGTGGTTGTGCTATATCGCGAATCAGTGGAAGTTAGGATCCATGGACTGGACATAGGATCGGGCCTCGGTGGCTTAATGGTCTAAAAGGTCGCCGTGTAACTGGAAGGTACTGGGTGCGTACCGTTAAAGATCCCCAAACCAGGAAGAAAAAGCAGTGCACTACTTCCCGTTGGTCTCCAATGGTTCTCTGACCGACGTCAGCTCATGATGAAAACCTGTGACAGTGTATTCTTAAAGTTTGGTAACGGTTCAACGTTCAACTTTGGGGTGAACTATCTTGCTGTGATTTACAGCACTTTATGACATGAGAAGTAAATAATTGTGGTACGGGAAGAAACCTGTTAATTTTCATTTACAAACTTATATGTCTGAAATCCCAAATCAGATTAAGAATTGCGCTTAAAAACCTGATGAACTATTCCCTAACTCATCAGTGTTGTCCGAAGATCATATTTCAGTTTGATTTAACTATTGGAAAAGCAAGATAAATATTCATTGATCTAAAATCAGCCTGGAAATCTACTGCACTAAGCATAAGTAACGAGATTCGGATTCCTAGCACTGCTTCTATATGGTTCAGAGACTTGACTGACGCTTCACAAAAAGCATTTCCAACAGGTTACTTCGGATTTTTATCATCAGCTGCCTTTACTGGTTGCTTAATAAAGATCAGATGGCCGGCCAGAGAGGATGAGCGATAAAGATATCTGGCGACAAACCAATAAAGTAACTATCTCTTGACAAATATGCAGAAGGAAATGGACTAGAAACTTGCTGAAGATACCATTTAGTAGCAACATGCTCCAAGCTGTCGAATGCAATTCGAATGGGAAACGACGAATTGAACGTGGGTTTTAGGTTGACATAGAGAAGACCATGTGAAGATTAGATAGGAGCTTATGGGCAATCGTGGAACCAGATAAACAGGATTGCAGTGAACACGATGGTATAGAAATAAACTGCTGAAGTCCTATGGTGCACGACAAGCCAAACGGAATAATGATAAATAAAAAATAACCGGTTAGTGATGTCTAAATATTTTATGTATCTCGCTAATTTAGCCTATCTGATTCTATGCAGTGATGGTGAGATCAGTACATACAGGTGAAAATACTGACCGTTGGTCAGTAAGGTTATTAAAAAGTAAAAAAAAAACAAGCAACACTCCGGCAATGCATAAAATCCATGGAAAAAGTTACAGGGGTTGCATGATCTGTAATAATGCACAGTAGGAGGGAACAAAATTATAAATAGACAGAAAAGTAGAGAAAGAAACTGATAAACACAATATAAGCGATTAAACACCTGCTTCAGGTGTGCGAAAGACTTTATTATACCTAAAATAAAAAGAAGCTGGAAAGATAATAGGTATGCTATGAACTTCAGTCTCAAAAGATAACTTGGGTTTAAATATTTTTTCAGTAAATAACTGAAGTTAAACAAACAAATCTAAATGAAATTCTTAGACGTTCCGCCTTCATATAGTTACTATTATTATTATTCCTTGGATTTTGAGTGGAACATAAGGATTCACAGGCACATCTCCAGTTCACTCTGTCCACTGTCGTCTTCTTTATCTGGCTCTAGAATTGTGCAAAAGCTAAAGTCCTCTTATGACATGATCTCCGTGTCAGCTTCAGAGACCTATCTCATCTTTTCGCATTCGGGTATCACTTCAGGGTCTGGAGTATTATGTCACTTGAATGTTTCTTCGACCTGTGTTGCTGGGTATAGATTAGTGAGTGAATGAAATGCTGAATATTACCCGATAATTCAATGCATCTCCCTATGAAGTTGGCAGTGAGCCGCACCTATTGTGTTAGGCCTAGTGCTAATACCTGGCTGACAGAATCTCGGTAAGTGGATCAGGATTTGAATCCGTGAACCATTGGCTGGAAGTCGCATGCCTATACCAGTGAACCACAACTGGATTTTTTTTCCAGGGTTCCTTGTTGTTTATTCATTCTGGTCGTCTAATCTTTTGTATTCGGTGAAGGCAGCTGTTGATGAAAGTCTTCAGTAGCCTGTTGGAAATGTTTTCGGTGACGTTCGCGCTAAGTCCCTGGAGAGTACGGAAGTGACTTTAATTTGGTATCGAAAATTTGAATGTTGTCCGTTGTAGTGAGTTCTGTACATCTCCACACTGTTCATAAATTAACAAACCTATATATTACTTCCCTATCGCTATCTGTACTGCCTGTAGTTGAAATAATGTTTTTTAAGTAAGTCAAAAGAGACAACTTAATTTAGATTTCTCTAGTCGACTGGGACTGATTGATTGATGTTTATTTTCGGTTAAGCAACTTCATCATCTATGCCTTCTCTATATTTACTTAAAGTTCCTACTTCAGTGACTCTTCTGTCGATTTGCTGGTATTTGCCTGTGTATTTTCAAATTTGTATAACATTAGACGTGAATCATCTATAATCATCCAGATTTTCTGCAGTACTTCGGTAACCTAACGCATCCCAGATGTCTTTTGCATAGTCCACTTTACCATATTTTGAAGAATCGTCAATGGCAGTAGGCAGCCTCCCCTCATCCCTATTGTCACTTCACAGTCTTCATTGATTATGATTTGAGACGCTGTAGTTCGATCCGCGCATAATCCCTTTTTCCTGAATCCAGCATATATATATATATATATATATATATATATGTGCGTCGGTGGTATAGCGGTTAGGACGCTCGCCGACCATGCATATGGTCCGGGGTTCAATCCCCGGCCGGTGCACGCCTTTACCTCACTGAGCCAGAAATAATACTGGTAAAGAGGAACGGTTGGGCATGAGGCTAGCAAATCCATCCTGTAAAAATTAAACACTGCTACAGAAACTTCAAGCCACTAGCTTGAAGCCCTATGTTCCACTGGGAACGTGAAGGAAAAATTATTATTTATATATATATATATGTATATGATTGCATGGAGGATTTCATTATGAGCTGACATCAGTTAGAGAACCACTGGAAAACATGGGAGTACTGGACGGCTGTTTCGTCCTAATTTTGGATTCTTCAGCGGTACTCACCCACCCACCGGGGTTTGAACGCAGTACCTTCTGGTTACAAGGCAAGCTCGCAGACCATTGAGCCATTGGGATCCGATCCAATGGTCCTTGAATTCTAGCTTCTGCCAATTCACGACATAGCACGACCACTTCGCAATGTCTTCTTCGGCTCTCAGTGGCTCAGTGGTCTACAAGCTTGCCTTGTAACCAGAGGGTCATGGGTTTGAACTTTGGGTGGGGGTGCGTACTGTTGAAGACTCCCAAAAGTAAGACGCAGCAGCTGTCCAGTACTCCCAGGTTTCCCAATGGTTCTCTAAATGATGTCAGCTCATAATGAAATCCTCCATGCAATCAGACAAAAATCCCTACAAAACCAATACTTGAAAATATATATATATGACCCGTATAAGAATCAGTGAGGTATGATTTGAATTTAGTTTACTTAAATCCTAAATTAAGTTACAGTGCATTCAATGACAGTATGATATAAAGTACATTCTTCAATTTCCTGGACATAACAATAGATTGTATTAAGACAATATTATTTTTCTCTAACACAAACAATATTTATGCATATATTTAGGCCTTTTAAAAGATGCCTAGAGTGAAAATACTGTATTACTCTCTAGATAAATCTTGAGTTTTATCAAACAATAATGCCATCTATACACGATAAAAAGAAATCTCCCCTACAACAAACAATTGTTTAATTATCAGATTTTGAGGAAAATATATATTACTATTATGTGCATATAAGCAAATTTTAAAAGCTTATGGGATAGGTTGTCCATGTCAAATTATTTCTTTTGTTACAGAATGTCAGTGATATCTTCTGAAAAACTTAGATATATGTTCATTATGTTAATTTATGTTGCCATTTGATGCCAGTCGTAGATAATGAAACAATTGATGTAACTGCATGCATGATGAAGAATCTCTGAAGTTATATAGATTCACTGCGATAGGTACTTTCGTAAGTTTGAATTCCAAAAAAGTAGCTTGCTTCTGAAGAATTCTAGGCTTAAAAGATATGTAAAAACTGTAGGCGTGTGCTGTTGGTTGAAACCATTATCCTTTCTAGCAAATACGTCTGGACGTGATGAATTTTATTTTGGGGAGTAACAAGAATAAATCGATACATAAATAACTACAATTTTTCCTGTTATTTTCTTTTCTGAGGTGTACAGTACACGAATGGTGATGCCCTCCTCCCTTATAGTAATTAGTCAAATCTCCAAGAACAAATCAAAGGATCCAACAGAAATTTGTTAAATTCTCTTCGCATAGTCAAGGTAAAACAGAGCAATAATTAACCAGTACTCAAGAACTAAACACTTTAAAAAGATTGAAGAGCACGATGAAGACAGTATTTATATGGTAAGAAGACTACATGAAGACAGTAGAAAATTTGATTAGAGTAATTTTTATGCCGGCAACTCATAAACATTAGATAGCTGAATGAAGAAGAATTCAGGTGAAGTCATGAAAGCAGGTTAGACTGCAGATCAGGTTTGTTGGTGAATTAAATCTAATTGACCAGATAAACTTGTATTTTATGACATACCCAATCAACAGTAATCTAAATACTCTTCAGCGAAGGTTTTCACTCCTGAGCATGGCAACGAGATTTTTTAAACACCCAACGTAATTCTGTGTCGGTAGCATAGCGGTTAGGACGTTCACCGATCATGCACATGGTCCGGGGCTCAATCCTGGGCCGACGCACTCCTTCACCTCGCTAAGCCAGAAATAATGCTGGTAAAGAGGAAAGGTTGGGCATGAGGTTAGCACCCCATCCTGTAAAACAAACACTGCTACAGAAACTTCTAGCCACTAGTTTGAAGCCCTATGTTCCACTGGGGAGCGTGAAGGAAAGAAAAAAGAAAAAACCTAAATCTGAGATTTTCTTGTCAGGTGAGTAACTCACTTTTCGGAGGTATCAGAAGAGATCCAACTAAATGACACCGAAATTGTGGTTTATTTATATCACAGCAGTTCACTTGAGTTAGACTAGAGCTGGCTAAGGAAACTACACGACATACAACTGAAAGTGATGGATGCCTCCCTGAACAGACGAAAGCACAACGTTCAAGGCGCTGAGCAAACCAAAGGGATGCTTATGACATCATTTATGTCAGAGCTAACTTTTGTAGTCGCTATAAAATGTTAAAAACCATAGTTGTACTAGCGATTGAAAAAAATTTAATGCACGATGCAAACGGACCTTCTTCCGTGATTAGAATATGAGGTTTGGAAGGCACTTCCAGCTCAATCAATGGTTTGTCTAACGAAATCCATTTTAAAACAGAAACAATGAAACAAAAAATCTCACTTTTAAAAGTCTAGATCCAGAGCAAAAGCATATCAAAGTTAAAAATACAAGAACAGGCAAAGTAAACCCGTTAATACAAGAAACGTGGTTGCGACAACAACAGTCATGCAGTATGCACTCGACATTCATTACTGCAAAATGCTGAAGCAAAATGCTGTTTTCTGAGAAGCATATAACAGCAGTGTCTTCCGACAGTCTTTCAGGAAAACTGATATCGATACAATTCTACCATAAAATTTCTTCGTTCTAGCAAGACAGGCAGCACAAAATTGTTTAACCACATAAGGAGTATTTTTTGACATTGGGGGAAGATTACTGGAATTTTTAGCAATGTGAGTCAATGAAAGAGCAAAACAGCCAATTCACCTAAAAATAAGTGAGCCAGACAATTTCAAAGCAAAAGAATACAAAACCAGCACCATCAATTAAATTAGATGTACCGACTGTGAAGAACTTTTTTTCTGCAAAAGTAGATACCCATCTTATCATTATATCCAAAAAGATGAACCAGAAGTCAAAAGATATGATGCTCATTACCTCATACCAAAGTATATCTGCAACTAAGGACACAAATTCAACAGATAAAATGTGGACATTTTAGACAGAAGAGAGACTAAAGGTATCCCGAAATTTCTGATATCCTGACACTGGAACCTGCTAATATATGTTAGTATAAACCAGATTAGTAATAAAAGACTTCAACTCATCAGAGTACAACACAAAAGTATCCACCTGAGCTGCAGTTTTAATTCAGCATTTAGAAAGACTACTTCATACCTTATTACGTTACTAACTGTTTTATCTCCTTAGAACCACTAATTACCTTGGAATGCTAAGTAAGTGATAATTCTACTTAACTTGGAAAATAACAACTGCCAAACCAATATGGTTAATTATTTTCATACTAATTTTTATTTAAATTTAAGCAAATCAAAAATTAAAGAAGCATCGTTTCGTAAATCTGAGTAATGTACCATGATTTCCGGGATCTATTTTAAACTTGGCTTAATTTTTTAAGCAGTGACAAATCGGCCACGGAAATAAAACATCTGTCACTAGTTCATGGACATGTAACCTTCTTGACAGCCTAGACAACGAACAAATATTTTGAAAATATCAAGCTCTGAAGTCATGAATTGGCTACACAAGTGCTTATAATAGTTAACTTTAAAAAATCCCTTATTTATATTTTATCAGATAACTTATATTATTCTTAAATTACTTTAGGGAATTATACATGCATACACTTTGCAAAGTACAAGATATCTAAAACATCAGTTTTAAATAAGTGAATACGTAATTCTTCATTAATGCTCACTGACAGCACTTGTTTTGGAAACTGCCCAGATATGAGCAGCTTGTCGAACGAATTCTATCATTTTTCTAAGACAAAATTATTAACTTACATGCTGCTAAAAGTAAATGTCGATTAGTCTGGCTGTGTTCAGTTGAATATGGGACAGGCTGCAAATCAGAACAAGGAAGTGCTTCATTATCTGCATGAAGGGTATAGAAATTATTTTTATTATCTCCACTGTCCTCTGTGGGTAATAACTAAAAATGGAAAAGCAACTTAAGAAAATTCAACGATATTCGTACAACTATTGTACCATTCGAAAGACCAATAACCCAATATTTGTTATCATTTGTTATTCGAACTACAAGAGCATTAACGTTACCGAAGTCTCTAAAATGTTTTACAATAATACAAGAACTTCATTACAAATTACAAGACATTCTGGTTTGTGATGCTTTCTGAAAATTTAACTGGGTTCGCATTTTTATCGGATGCTTTTATTAGTGCCACATTCTGACTATCAGGTGGTTCTGTCATAATTGCAAGACGATGTTCAGTTCAAATGAATGTTGTTTACTGTAGGATCATGGTTTTGTGTAGTAAAACAAAAGCAAAACTTGACCTAAACGGAAGCTTCAAGCAGCTACAATGAATAGAGCCTTTAGTAATTTTTATCATTAAATCGAGGTTGTTTGCTTTCATTCCTGTCGGTTTTCACAATTAATTTGTTCAAAATAATTCATTCGGCTACAACTGTCGAAACGATAATTTTGTTGTCAGTGCATCAACAGCACTGCTGCGTGGTTCCTCAAGTGTGAGTTATTAATATGCAAGCACTAATAGGAACTAGAAAGAATATGGAACTCTGTAGGCAGTCTCTTCTTTTATTATGCGTCAGACAAATGTTTCGGTTCTATCACTAACATTAAATCCATTTTGTAATTTAGGAATTCCCATAATGCTCAGTAAATGAATGATGTGGGAGGATCTTGCGCACATCATAATATTGAAAGAAAAAAGTAATCTTCCTCCACAAATTTAGATATTCACAGCTCTACATGAGCTTTAAATGACACTCTCCAAGCCTCTCTAATGACGGCATTCAAAGCCAGTAGCGCTTCTCCTAAACTTACTTGATACATAGTCTTAGTAGACAAAGGTAAGCAGTTTAAATTGGATGAGTCTGTGAAAAACTAGTGGATAAGGAACACTTCTCAAGACAACTGGGAACAATAATGGAGAGGAATCAGACAGATTGCGACATCTAAATTCTAATCGGATACATAAATGCCTATGTCAGAAGAAACAGCACAGTAGAAGGAGTAAACATAAGTGAAGAAGTGCTCAGTGAACTGAAAAAGAACAGAAGACTCTTCACAAAAGTTCATGCCCTCAATTCAGATCTAATCGTGGGAAAATGAAAGAAAACTCTGTGAACGATGTCTCCGTGGTGGCTTTATATAGGAGATTTCGCGGGGCCAAGCAGAACCAGGAGGAGTAAGTCATATGTAGATACAGCCGCAATATTGCACACTGCCGAATATAGCCTAGAATGTGAGCCAACCGTCCACATTTACTTCACTCACTTTGAAAATACTCGGGATAGCATTATCTTTGGGATGTCGTAAGCGCGTATAAGTTTCATTCACCTGATAGGGTGTGGTGATGCCTTCGGACCAAAGACAGGAGTAAGCTAAGGCCACCTAATGTCACCGGCGATTCTCTTAACTGTGGTAAATTGTATCATGCAGCTAACAACGAGTAGCGAGAAGAGAAGTACACACTGCAACCACTGTCAACTAGCTAAACAGTGTCGATTTCTGCATTGGTGATGGATGGAATAAGTTCAAATCTACACTTGGCTGTCATAATGAAACCTTTTCATCTCCATTTGACTACGGGAATTTCTGGCAAAATACTGTGAAACCAGGAAGAATTAAGAGATGTTGATTTGCCATTTCAGGAAGTTCTATGGATCACGCTTAGTTATGTACTTGCAGAACTGTCTAAAAAGTCTCTTCGAGCATGTGAATAGTACATTCAAGAAACGCGACTATATCCCCACCCTCTTAATTGATAAGGGCCTGACTAATCTAGCTGTTGATAATTTGACAGGTGGAGAACCTAAGGTACTCAAATACGTCCGACTTCCAAATTGTACTACACTTTTAAATTTAATGGTCCCAGGGAACTCCGTCAATGAATATTTCCCAAGCCAGAATGTCCTCTTGGTTTCAAGTGGATATTCGTAACACATCTTCAGAAGTTCCGCTCGTAGTGGTCTTATTTTTGCGGGGTGAAGTTGCCAGCCTGATGGCCACCTTTCCGTCTTTGCGGGCCTTGCCAATGACTAGCCAAGCTTTAGGAGTGCGTCGACTGGGAATCAAACCGCCCGAAAACGTGCGTAGTTACTGCTGTACGCCCGAAGCACAAATAAGAGGAGGAACGGTAGGTCATACTAGAAGAAGAATACACGACCAAGCACGCCTGATTAGGGTACGTCGTGACTTTCAACCCACCGAGGTGCAAAATTAAGCCTCCACCACGGGTCAAAGCATTCTTAATCACCTTGAATCCGGTACCAGATAAAGTCAGAATGTCTGAGAGGATTACAGGAATGGTGACCAAATTTATCAGAATACCTTCGAACCCTCATCCTCATATAAGGAGAGCTACTATGGACCAGACATATCTCCGCCCTCATATCCGTGGTTACAGGGCAGCATCATTATAGCGGTTTGCACTTTGTCAGAAAACTTGGGTGCTAATTTATGCTGTCTGTTTCTCCTCTTTATTGCCAACCACTAGAAAGGCAGTCAACTTGAGATGTCAAAGCCACGGTTGAAATATCTGCGTCTTGGATTTCAGATCCCAGGCCAAAATGTTAGTTAGTGGAATTTCTATTTAAAGAACATTTCATCCGCACCTTCTATTGATCCTTACAAGGCAGGTCTGGACATAAACACTCTACAAACTATGTCATAGCCGGTCGGATTAAGCATAAATTTTTCGCATGTAGTACGCATAGGATTCGGTTCCTCTCCTCAATAGGTATTCGGGTGAAGGAAAAGGAAGCCTACTTACAGCATGTAAAGCTGAGTTATTCTGTTAAAATTATGAGACTATGCAGACTACTGGCCCGTCCTAAAGGGAGTTTGCACGTTGTACTAGAAACCCAATAACATAAAAGCTTTGAGGCACAGAAAAGACTTAAATGTCACCAGGAAAGACGCACTATGCTGTATAGTGGAGTTTCCTAGAGGCCAGTCGGCCAATATCTTCTTCAATAAAGAAAAAAGTAGGCAGAGAAATGCGGACTTCATCATTTCCAAACACAACCCCAGAAAATGAAAATTACTTGGGTAGGGACAAATCGTATGTTTTCCTAGAAATGTCGAAATAGGAATGTCAATGTAGTTTAAGCTTGAACGATCAACTCATGGCTGTCTGCTCAAAACCAACTTCCCCAATTTTCGTGGAGGCATCAATACGACAGTCATTGCCTCATCGGTCGCTGTTCAGAAAGAAGTCGGGAGACAACTATCAGAAGTAATATTATGATTTATTATTGTAATATTTGTTCACAGACCTTAGTTTTAACAGTATTTATATGTTGGTGTAACAATAAAGAATCCTCGAGTCACCAATTGGTGTTTTGGTTTTTTCGTCCGTTATTACTAAGCGTTTCTGAGAAACTTCAAGGAACAGCGTGAGCCCGAGCGTAGCAAGAGCTAAGCATTAACGGTTTACGAGACGTGACTGACAGTTTCTGACGGTGGAAACAGTTTCTGATGGTGGCGTCAGTTTCTCACGGATTCAGACAGTTGGTGACGGTTTGGATAGTCGGCGTTCATCTTTCCTGGTGCCGGTCAAGTCCTCTTTGAACAAGCAATATCTGGAACTATTTTGGAATTGGGTCAAGTTCAACAATGCCTGGGTCAAAGGAGGGACAGAGCGTCTTGGATGCAAACAGGAAAGTAAGTCATTGTGACTTGTCTGTTACTTGTAACGATGTGTCTGATGTTAAACATGACATGGCTGATATTACTGTTTCGCCGTTCAGGGATAATGGGGACATCAAACTCCCTAAATTTGAACCACGGTGTTTCGACGGAAACCCGGCTGATTATTTACAGTTTGTAAGAGGGTTTGAAATCATGTTAAGTCGCTTTGTATTAAATGATGAATTGAAGTTAATTTATTTGATGAGGTACTGCACTGGAGTTGCTGCAAGAGCTATACAGTGCTGTAAGCTCATGCCCCCTAATGAGGGATACGCTGAGGCTATGAGCATATTAAGTCAAAGTTTTGGAAGACCTTCAATGATTGTAAGGAACGTATACGAAGCTGTCAAAGGTAACGGCAGTCAACTTCAAGATGACTCCAAGGCACTTTCTGAGTTTTTAGATAATCTTATGACTTATAAGAATACCTTGATTTCGATGAATTTCATGAGTGACCCCAACTGGAGTATTATACTAGAGGTAATAGCAAGACGCCCACCTACTCGACTGCAAAGGAAGTGGGTGAAGATAAGCTCCCGTATGGAGGATGAGGGTATCGAGCCAAAATTTGATGATATCCTGAAACTAGTAAAAGATAGTGTCAATCTATCTATGAGCAAGTTTGCCAGTATATTGAATCTCACCCCTAGAATAGAGCAGTCTGAGGGAAAAACGCAATCATTGATGACGAATAGGCCTCAGAGAGGTGGATACCGAGAAGGCTCCACGGTGTCTAATAATGCATATAGACCTAATGAGTGTAACAGGTTTCGTAGTACATCCTCAACAGATAAGTTACAAGATGCAAGACTAGCACGGTTGTGTTTTACACGTTTGCAAGAGGTGCATACAGAGGTGAACTCTGTACCAGTGAGCAAGTTCAGTGATAAGCTAAATGTGAGTTCAAGGCCTTACTCCGAATTGTGTGACGATAACGGTGCGGTCAAGAAGTATGTAGTTGCAACTGGTAAGCCATTGTTGAATAGAGTGTCACAGAATAGAGTTACTACTTCAGAGTGCAGTTCTGACTCCACAAGTTTACAAGGTATTACTAGTCAGAGTGAAGGTATAAAATATTTAGGGATTTGTGAGGAAGAACCCAAATCATCCACTGCTGTTATTAAAGAGTTTGAAAATGATGAAGTTGACGGTAAAGTGAATATTCATGATAATGGTCATGATACTTCACAGTTGTCTTTGGTTGATCATGATGAAATGAAGGGAATGCCTACTACTAAGTTGAACAAAGGTTCTGTACAACTAGAACGTGGAGTAGAATTGAATGCAGATGCAGTTGCAGAAGGTATGGATACTTGTGAGACCGTCAGTGTAATTTATCAGCGAGTAGCCAACCTATCATCGGATGCTAGTGTTAAGCCTGAGTTGATAGTAAAAGACACCAGTGGTGGTGGTCTTACAGGTAGACAAATTTCTGAAAGCCGAACAACAAAGGAATTCCACCAAAAAATGATCCGCGAGGTTATATGTACTGTTTGTGTATACGTGTGGTGTGTCATATCAATTGGTGTTTTT